CAAGTTTTTATACATTTTAGCTAATCTATGTGGGGTTAGGTTCCATCTATAGAACATTTTATACAAATTTTCTTTAAATGAAACAGATTTAGTCAACTTGATATTCACATTCCATAAGACAAAGGATATTAGTAGTAAACATAAGAATACTGCAGTACTACAGGGTAAAGCTCTTGAGTTATAATTAGGGTTGCTAACTTCCATGTGGGGACTGAAGTACTCCTGGAATTAGAACTGATCTCCACACTAGAGAGACTGGTTCCCCTGGAGAAAACAGTGGTTTTGGAGGGCAGACTGTATGGCAGCATATCCCAAAACTCCATCCTCCACAGGCTCTGTGCCCATATTTCCTGGAATTGCCAGCCCTGGTTAAAATGAACAAACCAGAATGGCTGTTTTGGCAAGAACAGGGCATTTTACAGAAAAACAGATACATAGATAGTCTCAGGCCATTTCGTAATATTTCATTGTTCTGATTTGAGTGGAATCTGGGACAATATTGAAGTGGGAAAACTGATTATATTGATCTGATGAGGAACTGCTTTCAAAATGGATAAGGCATTTACTGTTTCAGAAAGGTCTATTCAGAGTATTCACAACTTTGTTCTTTTGTCATAAGCCTGAATTCTGAACATTGTTCAACAAATTGCAAAAGAATAGTCCTCCTAGGGAGAGTGATATATGATAGAACTATCTCCTAAAAGCCATTTGCGTAACTGAATAATATTAATATTACTGTCCATTGTTACTGCTGTTATTATAGACATTAATATTTAGCTCCTCGTAGTAGACATAGTCATTCTTTCCAGCAGGTTCAGATGTGTTAAATTTTTCCACACACAACAGCCCAAGTGCCCTGGATACAGCAACATAGAGAAAATAATGCCTGAACCAGCATAATGGTAGTGTCATGTTACCATGTGTGTAACCTAGCCATTTGACCTACTTCCCAATTTTGACCTAATCCGTATTAAAATATCTTGACTCTTAAGGGGAACCACCTTCCTGTCATTCTATGCTGAAGGAACATCTGGGTTAGGTTTGTACTCAACATGAAACCCACACACTGGTTAATGGGATTTGTGACAAAGTAGCAAGGCACTGCTATGGATTTGGAAGCAATATTGAGATCCGTCTAGAGTCAAAACTAGAAACAAAGTTTATTAAGGTGAATAATACAAATATCTGGGGCTGTGGAATTAGCAAATCTCAAGTAGTCAAATATTATCAGCACTCACTGTTATTTCCCATTTCTAGAGGCCCACTAAAAAGCCAGTCAGCCTAGGCATCCAAAAGCCAAAAAGAGGGAGAGAACAGAAAATCATAGGTACCATTTCCTTAAAGATTTAAACAGAGGTCTAAGTACCAATGCAAGGATACTAATGCTTAGGCCAAGAATAATCCAAAAGGGAAAAGCTAGACATCTAGGTATTATCACAATAAATCAGTGGTTAAGCTTCTATAAAACAACTTTCATATTGGACAGGCAAAAGCACATAAGGAAAGCACACTATGGCTGTGGTCACACGCACTAAAATAATCCACTTTCAATTCACTTTCCAACTGGATTTTGCCAGTTCAAACAGTAAAATCCAGTTTGAAAGTGGATGATTTAGTGTGTGTGTGTGACCGCAGCCTATGATGGTAGATTTTGGTCTCTTTTTCAGGGCAAGCTGCAGAGCCCCAAAATAAGCAATTATTTCAGGTCCCAGGCTGAGGGACAGGAAGGCGTAGGTGTGTACCCTGAGAGGAAAGGGGAGAGAAAATGTCGTCCTAGGAATAATTCCAAATATGATAGAAGAGCTTCCAGGTGGTGTGGTGTCTGCTCAGAGACGGCTTGATCAGTAAAAGGGGGCTTCAGATAGTCCACTTTAGATCATTGGAACATCAAATCTGAGTCAGAAAACAGAACTAAGGTGTCCGTATATGTGGTCCTGGATCTGATGTTTGGATAGTGGGAAATACTAATGTAACATGATCTGCTTGTGACTGAGGACACACTGCTTAGTTATTGGAGGTCCTTGAATAATGGTTTCATTGCTGGGCGCTGGGCAAGGCTTTTCTCTGAGATATTTTTTTCTTCTGTTATCATGACTGGATTGGTTCAGCCTTGATTACTCCCCTGGTTCATTACCTTGCATGATCTTTAAAAACAAAAACTTCAGTGCAGGCAAGTGGTGGTCAACAATGGCTGTCACGCCTTGCCACCATCACTATCCCTTGCTGCCGCCTCATCTCTTGTCCCATGTGCCTCACGTCTCACTATACCCCTTGACCACCTCATGCTGTCCTTGTGCTTCATCTCTCACCACCCCTCTCAGCCTTTGCTCACCATCCTCCTGCTTCACTCCTCACAATTGCTGTTCAGGAACCAGAACAACTACTGTATCTAATGTCCACATTCCTCAGGCATCTTTAATCTCATATCTCACAAAAGTTCAGGAAGCTTGTATGGCTTGTCAGGCTGTTTTCAAACATGCCTCAGGAACAAGGAGGGAGGAAGCATTAGCTGCTGCAGCTTTTAGGTAGGGTGGTAAGACGTCAGTGAGAGCTGCTGCTCCTCAAAATCCACTGCATGAGGCCACCACCTCACTTCACTATGGAACCATGATGCAAACTATTGCTAAGAAACAATACCTGTAAGTGGAAAAATGCTGGGTAAAACATTACTTCCTCCATGCAACTGCCTTGCTGGGCATGCTTCAAATGGAGAAATGTTCAGATGTCTGGACTGGCCTTTGGCACCCGAAGAATCCTGTTGCTGCTGATTTTCTGAGTTATTTCATTGATCTTACCAGGGAATCACTTTAAAAATGAATGAGCTGAACCACTGTATTGTTGCAAGAATTATGCATGGAGGAATGATTCACCGACAAGGTAAGGGTTGGTGCAAGAATAAATTAGCATAACTTAAATGTGGTACTCATTAAATACTTGAGTGGAATTCGCACTTAGTGTCTAGTCCAAATTACATCTTAGTACTTGGTGCTGTTTCAAGGGTTGAGGTCCTGTGCCTCACTGCTTCAGTCAATCCTGTAACAAAATCTGCCTCTTAGTTGAGCTGCAGAAAGCAGCATAATGCCAATGCTAAGGTGAGCTTGATTCCCCATGCTTGAAATATACACGATGTTAGCCTGTATATGGATGCAAGTTAAGCAAGCTGCTACATGTTAATGAGCAGATGTGTCCTGAATAGGCTGTCAGAAGTTTTCTTGTTACCCTGCCTCTCTGCATTGCTTCTTCAGTGAGCTATTCTCCATCCTCCAAGAAAATGTTTTTTTGAAACCTGAGAGTTCTGACCTGTTGGACAATCCCAGAGGCAAGAGCATTCAGTCCACTGCAGTCAGTTAATTTGAGGCAGAACATAAGCAAGATTTATGGAAGGATTCCTTGAGACATATAGTTTCTGTGTTCTTTATCATAACAGCAGTGAGTCAGTGCTCCTTTCCTATTGTGGAAAAGTATTTTTGGTGTTTGCTACCATATGACTTTTCCCAGCTGCTTCCACATACAGGTTTTCCTCCATATCCTCACCAAAACTACAGTTCTTTTGGAGGGTTCTGCACAGTGTTATTATGAGGCCTTCCGCCTTCCAAGTTTCCATGGCTCTGCTTCACGTTTCCTCAAATCCACTTGGGTTCAGTCTTTTCTGAAAGATCTTACCCAAAGTGGGTTGGGGGAAGCGCATATGGAAAGCTGCATATTTCCACATGTCGCTTTCCATATCTGGTGTGCCTTTCCCCCATGTGCCTGTCATTCCTATTCCCACCACCTCTGGCTCTTTTGCTGTTTATCTGTAGCAGGTATATCACTATAGTGGTGTTCCTGCTACCATTTTTATTTTTTAAATCCATTGGAAAAACCCACCAGAGGTGGTGGAGGGAGGGAGATGTCAGCTG